TCTCTGTTCGCTCCGTTTGCTGCTTTCCTCCATCACGGTGGTGTCCCTTTGGTCAAAGGTCACGCGTCATGGCTGGATGTTTCCGGTTAGCGTCCCCTCGTGGTGGGAACGCACATAGATATCTATAAGAAAGGCCAGATGACTCTATGAGGCGAAGTTACCGGCGTCCCTGCACGGCGGCCTTCTTACTCCAGTATATCATTCTGGTCCGCTCTACGGTAGCTGACGGGAGGTGAGTAACCTACAGGATTAAAAACAAAATGAACTCGCTGAAATCTTGACAGATTCATAAATGGTTTAGTTTATTACAGACCTTGATAACGTGTCTATGAGTCGGGATGCTTTATGTACGGGGATGCTATTTAGTCTAAGTGACAGTCTTTTTGGATGTGCTTGTGTTTATCAGCTGTCTAACTTGGCTAACACACTTGCTGTGAGTGAGGCCAAGTACATATTACAAAGTTGACCCAGCAGTTTCACATTAGTTGGAGAGGCAGAAATGCTCTTTCATCTCAGCATAACTTAAATTGCACATGATTTCCAAACTGTTTGGTTTGTTAAAAACATCTATAATGACAACATGAGGCAGAAATTTATATTAAAATAAATATTTATATATGTTATTGTTATATGTTATTATAGTTATCGCTATAATAGAAATATTACTAATTTAACATACACAGAATTAATAAATAGTTTATATATTAATGATTGAATAAAACTGCCTTGTGTGTGTACGCCTATAGCTATTGCTCTACCTATCTGTTTAATGTTTATTTATGAAAATCCATGGTAAAAATTATTCTAGAGTATGCAGGAACATGACTAAAACTCTGAGGTTTGTTACAAACCAAACCGTTGGAAAATCGGTTTAAAATTGATCAATCTATGGTTATTTGAATGATACATGAACCGTAGACTGGAATGTTAGGAGTGGGCGAGCTGCCTGAAGCAAGGTGGCTGCCATGCGCGGACGGCGGTCTCCATTGGCTGACAGCCTGCGAGTCATCTAGTGTGTATATATCTATACGCAGACCATAGTCTATGACGCAGACCGCTCTGAGGCTGAGAGAGTGTGACGTAATCACCCTGCGACAGTTCCGTTTTTACGCAGTTAGTTTAATGGGCTCGCGAGAGTGTTCCGGTCCAGATTCTGGTTTTGTTACCGTTTTCTTTAGCAGCCGGAGACCTTCAGAGTCCAATAGAGTCCGTTCCCAGACCAGGACCCCCTATGGTTAGGATCAGGTCTGAGTTAGCCCGTTTGTCTGAGTCGTTAGCTTAGGTTAGCTTAAATTAGCTGCTGGGTAACCCGAAGTGCGTTTGTCTCCCTGATGGAGTGTCCCGGAGGAGGGGGGGAGGGCGCGCCGCTGGGAGGGGTGAACGTGCCGGCCTTCCTGACCAAGCTGTGGACCCTGGTAGGGGACCCGGACACCGATCAGCTGATCTGCTGGAGCCCGGTGAGCCTGTTAGCATTTTAGCATGATAGCTCTACTAGTGAAATTCTGAAGAACTACAGCTGAAGTAAAAATAACCCAAAGAAAACTAAACAATAAAACTAACCAACAAAACCAACTAATTTAACCAAACTAATCTAAACTTAAACAAACTAATGTAACTAACCCTGACTAGACTAAACTAAACTGACTTTTCTAACTCTGACTAAACTAAACTTAACAAACCCTGAGTTAACTAAACTCAACTAACTTAACTAACACTAACTAAACTCAACTAACTTAACTTTGACTAAACTCAACTAACTTAACTAACTCTGACTAAACTAATCTCAACTAACTTAACTAACCCTAAACTCAACTTACTTAACTAACCCTAACTAAACGAAACTAACCTAACTTACCCTAACTAAACTCAACTAACTTAACTAACCCTAACTAACTTAACTTATCCTGACTAAACTAAACTAACTTGACTAACCCTGACTAAACTAACCTAACTAACCCTGACTAAACTAAACTAACTTAACCTACCCTGACTAAACTAACCCAGTTAACCAAAGTAAACAAGCAAAACTTAACTTAACCAATTAACCCTAACTAACTGTAAGGATGGTTCGTTTTTCTCCAGGTGACTTCTTCAGCAGGTCTGACTCTCACCTGTATTTTACGGATCATGTAGATGTTTTGCTGACCTCATACAGAAGGTCAAACAAATCCATATATGGAAACAACACAACATATTTTAGGAGCATGAGTCGGTTCAGTAGGTCCTGGTTTAGGATGATTCCATAAGACGTCTGAGCTCCTCAGTTCAACCACCCTAAAGGGTGATGGGTGATATTGGCAAAAAAATTGATCACAATAAGTTTTTGCCGTTATGGCAATAACGATAAAAGTTGGTGTGTTATTCTGTCTTGAGAACGCCAGTTTCTATAGTCAAATAAGAAACTTAACCCCAGGTTGAAGTGGAAGGTTATGGAGAAAATAAATTACATGAAACAAGTTTGAAAACATTTTAGACACTTATGAATAAACTCTTATTTCACCGAGTGAACAGATCCACTGTCCGATGTCGAGTTTACCTGATCTTCTAACCCCCGATCTGGAAGGAAATCCCCCATGTGCAGCCTCAGAAATGTCTTCCTCACCACCTTGGCCATGTTTTTTTGTTATTCTGCTCTGTGTGAGTCCGTCGCTCGCACTAACTTCATCAACTTGCATTTATCAGGAGATGACAAATAGAGGATTTTGATGATGATAAATCATGAACAGTGATTTATCGCCCATCCCTAACGGTTAAAAAATCATCCAAACACTAAACAAGATGACTCAAAATACTGGAGGAGGACTGTGTCAAAGACAGCAGAAGATCCATGAGAACTAAAACTGACCCTTATGGAGCCAAACTCAACGATTCCGTTAGCGATACGTTTCAGGAGATCGGTGACATAAATCCAGACTGATTCAGATCGAGTCGATCGTTAACGTTTCCAAGTGAATTTTGTCCAGACTTAACAAAGTCAGAGGAGGTTCATGAAGTTAAAGTTGAGCTCAGGTGTTTCTCTAATTAGAAATCATCTGAGAAATCATACACACCTGTCCACACCCTTCCTTTACCTGCCCCATTTGGTGTTAACCTGTGTGTGTGTGTGTGTGTGTGTGTGTGTGTGTGTGTGTGTGTGTGTGTGTGTCAGAATGGGACGAGTTTCCATGTCTTTGATCAGGGTCGGTTCTCCAAAGAAGTTCTTCCAAAGTTCTTCAAGCACAACAACATGGCGAGCTTCATTCGACAACTCAACATGTGTGAGTGTGTGACATCACTGCTGACATTACTGCTGACATCACTGCTGACATCACTGCTGACATCACTGCTGACATTACTGCTGACATTACTGCTGACATCACTGCTGACATCACTGCTGACATTACTGCTGGTGTCACTACTGACATTACTGCTGGTGTCACTACTGACATCACTGATATCACTGCTGACATCACTGCTGACATCACTGATATCACTGCTGACATCAACTGTGTGTGTGTGTGTGTGTGTGTGTGTGTGTGTGTGTGTGTGTGTGTGTGTGTGTGTGCGTGTGTGCGTGCGTGCGTGTGTGTGCGTGCGTGTTAGACGGGTTCCGGAAGGTGGTCCACATTGAACAGGGCGGTTTGTTGAAACCTGAGAGAGACGACACAGAGTTCCAACATCCGTTCTTCATCCAAGGACAAGATCACCTGCTGGAGAACATCAAACGAAAAGTGACGTCTGTACGTAGAAAGTTCTGTGTCTGCTGTTTGAAGCCAAGATCAAAGCTCACTGGGGTATATGTCTGTGTCTGTGTGTAAGGTGGCGGTGCGGCAGGAGGACATGAAGGTTTCTGCAGACGAGGTGAACCAGATCTTGAACGATGTGCAAGTGATGAAGGGAAAACAAGAAACCATTGACTCCAGGATCATCGCCATGAGACAGTAAGAGTGCCTGGTCCTGGACCAGAACCAGAATTAAAACCTGGACTGGGACGAGGACTAAAGCTGAGTCTGCTGTATGTTCAGCAGGTTATTAATAAAGCTTGTGTGTGTGTGTGTGTGTGTGTGTGTCAGTGAGAACCAGGCTTTGTGGAGGGAAGTGGCCAGCCTGAGACAGAAACATGCCCAGCAACAGAAAATGGTCAACAAGGTAACCACACACACCTGTCCATCTGTTAACAGAGTAATCAATAAATCACCTGTCCATCCATTAATAGAGTAATCAATAGCCTAATATCACCTATCAGAAGTTTAGGCTGAAATCTTGATGTTTCCTTGTCATGTGACAGTGTCTTTTTTGCTGGTTTAGTGAATTAGGATTTACAGTCTCCTCTCTCCGTCTGCCCCCCCAGCTGATCCAGTTCCTGGTGTCCCTGGTCCAGTCCAATAGGATCATGGGGGTGAAAAGAAAGATGTAAAGAAAAGAGACACAGAGACTCACAAACATCAGATTACTCACACACACACAGCCACCATTTATTGTGTTGTTTGGGTGTGTTAACTGTGTAATTGTATGAATTGTGTGTATATAGTGTGTCTGTTCTTTACAAGAGGTGTTTTCTGTGTGCAGGCCCCTGATGCTGAATGACTCAAACTCCGCCCACTCCATGCCCAAATATAGTCGTCAGTACTCTTTGGAGCCAATGCAGGTAACTGGCTATATCCCCAAAGAAATTTGTGTCTCTGTTTACAAACAGATTTGAGCTCAGTGTGTCTCTGTTAACTAACCGATCTGGGCCTATTCTACGAAGCAAGTTCGACCGCTCAACTCAGCGCGGTAGCCAGCGGTCTCGCTAAACGGTCATACGACGCTGGTTATCAACCTTGTAAGTGGATCCAGCTTCGCTATGAACGCGTGAACGCATGTAAGGCGGAGCCCGCCGCATATGACCATTCACGAATATGGACCAGTCTGGAGCGTCAGAGCAGGCTGGAGAGCTAAGGACCGCAGACTTTACAAACGAGGAGCAGGAGACGATCATGAGAAAGTATGAAGAATTCAAATCTATCATAAACCTCAGAAGCAACACCGTCACGGCTGCAAAAGCACGAAAGGAATACTGGCAGAAAACTGCAGACAGTCTCAATTAGTGCTGGGCGTTATGGAAAAAAAATGTATATCACGATATGGATCATTTTATATCACGATAATGATATACCACGATATAGCTACGGTATGCTTTCAGTTCTATGAAAAATTAAAGTGTATACAGCTGCACTAGTACAGTACCAGTACAAGACCAGCACTTAAAACTAGAAAAATGAATAAATAAATACGTGGATGAAGTGTGTTCATGTCTGTGCTCACCCAAAGTTATGCAACACTCACAGAAAACGCCGAGTGTGAGCCAAAGCACTCCATAATAATAATAATAATAATAATAATAATAATAATAATAAATTTAATTTGTAATGCACTTTACATTTACAAAAAATCTCAAAGTGCTACAGTACACAGTAAAAAAAGAGCAGCAACAATAAAAAAACAATAGAATGACAGTCACAGATTGGCATAAAAAAAGAATTTAAATAAATAAAGAATATAGAGTTTCAATGTAAGAGGCAAGGTAGTAAAAGCATAGAGGAAAACTAACCAAAGGCTTCATTAAAAAGGTAGGTCTTTAGGGCTGTTTTGAAGAGGTTGTTCACACTGCTAGATGTTTCTCCTCCAAAGCTGCTCTCTGCCTCCATCATTGTTTACTTTACTCTTGAAGCACGTGGGAAGACCCGAGCATGAATCCGAGCGCTTTATTCGCCTATCAGGGGCAGACAGGTAAGGTGATTTGATTCGCCACGACTCCAGAAATGATTGAAAAACTACAGAATGTCACAAAATCACGTTTCCTCGCTGCTGGTTCGAAGGGTAGAAATGCGCAGCCGCGCTCCCAGCTGACAGGAAGTCAAACCACTGTTGTAGTTCTTCTGTGTTGCTAGCGCGGTCAAGAGTGTTAGCTCTCACTGAGAGATGACTACAAAAATGGACGCACCTGTTCATCTGGTTGTTAAACACGGCTGAAAATGATCATCTTTTCATGTTGTTCCCGCTCCTGCCCACTCCCGTTGCTTTTTTTCCCGTCCCGTCCCGATCAAGGGATTAATTAAAAAATGACTCCCATCCCGCGGGAATCACGTGACCCACGGGAATTCCCGAAAAATGTCATCCTCTACAGGGAAGGTCCCGGAGCAGATGAAACAGGTGCCGGAGCGGCTGAAATAGGTCCCGGATCGATCAAAAGAGGTCCCGGATCGCGCTCCGACTTGCTCCGGCACAAATTAAGCACTGCTTACAATGATCCCCTCACGTGTGTAACCCAGGTAACCCGCAACGGCGGGAGACGCTGGACACAAAGAGGGCACGTAAAGCGGCGTCATGTCGCAAAATCGAAAGAGAAATGCGAGCCTACATGTCAACGCATCCTTTTCTTTATAAGGAAATATTGTTTTCTCTCCCGTTCGACACCAAATACACTTACTGAATGTGCAATTATTGTTGTTGTTACTATGAATCATCTGATGGAACAAGCTCTATGGATAAAATACAGCCTATCGCCCGAAACGATAAAAATAGAAATGGCACGATAGACATTTTCTACCGTGCCCACGATATCTATCGTCCTATCGCCCAGCACTAGTCTCAATGCGTAAGTATAGTGCGCAAAAAATCTTTGATGCCATTATCACCCTGAAATAGTACTGTTCAACATGTGCTTTTAACATGCACCAGACATGTCCAATTCATTTCCAAGATGAATTCATTCATTTGTTCATTCCTATCGTGTTTACATGTTTTGTGTGATATGTCGGCCATATAAGCCTTTCATAAAGGTGGTCATCCGGAAAAGTAAGTGGGTCCGTGCGGTCCCTGAAAACTCTCGCGCGCCAGAGTTCTCCTCGGACAATGCGAGCACCGAGGTCTATAGGATCCTCCAAGAACTCATTTTTCAAGAGAGCTCATTGGTCAGTGGGCGGGGTTTTTATACTCAGTGAGTTCAATCTGGAACTTAACCTGCCCCGGAGCAGGTTAGCCGTTCAGCGTACGTTGCCATGGAGACTCGCCTCGCTAAGAAGTGAACCCGCGTCGTAGAACAGGAAATCCCGAACTTACCCTCGAAGTTATCACGCTAAGCAGTAATCCTGCTTCGTAACAGAAACTTACAAACAGATCAGAGGTCAGTGTGTTTCTGTTTACAAACAGATCTGAGGTCAGGTTGTCTCAGTTTACAAACAGATCTGAGGTCAGTGTGTTTCTGTTTACAAACATTGTGTTGGTTGTTTAATTTTGATAGTTTTTTTTTCTTACAGGCAGCAGACAGTCCCTTTTCAGCTGACTCTCTTTTGACCTCTGGGCCAATAATCTCTGACATCACAGACATGGTGGTTCCTGCCTCACAGGAAGCTGTCAGTGATTGGAAGGATGCAGGGTGAGAATAACAAACAGACAGACATGACATTAGCAGGACTGCGGTAGCATGGGGACACCATGGTACGTCGTCTGCCCACTTTTTGTGTGTACAAAATAATCTAGAATAAATAAGTGGCAGAAGAAATGATTGGTCTTAAAACTGGAGTTACTGACAAAGTTCAAAAACACAAATGTTCCCCCGTAATCTGACTTAGATCGTCAGTTTTGTCATCATTTAACGGGCATTTCCTGCACCGCGCTTCCTTCGCACATCCTCTCCGTTTATGTGGAGGGTCACGTGCTGTCTAAAACCTTAGACTGTGGACTGAGAGGGACCCTCTAACAGCCATTCTGGTTCATTGGCCCAGTTAAACGTGGTTATTGTAACCACGGGTTACAATAAAACCCCGTTTTATCGGATCATCAGGATCCAGTCAATCCCTGGACCACTGCAGGTTTTTTGGTAAATTAGATGGAGACCTCCAGCTCCAGTTGGGATGCTAGTTTTTTCACTGCAACCATGCCTGTGTCCACAGCCTCTTGTCCCTCTGTCCTATCAGCACAGATTTCTATTCGTTTAAATGTCTGTTTCAAACTCTTGAGAAAAATGGAATTATAGAAAAACCAAAAAAACAGCAAGACTGAGGAAAAGATACAAGAACCTTGGAAGTGCAGCCATTTTTAGGACGCAAACACAACCAGTTATTAAATGGAAAAGCAACCTTCAAGTCTGAACGTTATCCTTTAGCTTTTCTACCACCGAAGAAGTGGTTTCTGGCAAAAGTCATGTCAGAGGTCATGTAAAGACCTAAACAGGCTCATGAATTCACTCTTGTCCTGGCTAATTGTTTAACCTAAGAGTTCACAAAAAGATTCGCTGTAGTTCAGGATGACAGACAAACCTTTACGATGTTTTCTTCCTGAAGACGGAGACTAAACTCCTGAACACCTACATGTAGACAAAGCATTAGCTGATGCCAGAGCAATGGATTAAACAGAGTGGCGACAACTTCAGATCTCGCCGCCGGAGCGGTCACGTGGTTCATGTACCCCTCCATAGTTCCAAACGCAGCCTGCACTGTCCATGCTCTTCAACAGGACAGACTGCAGTGAGCGCGCATTTAAGAGGTAAATATTAAAATTAACCGTAAAAAGTCAACATTTGCTACTCTTATTGGATTACTGTGTACACGTCAAAGTCACGTACGTATATTTAGCGGCTGGATGACAAATAAAAGTGAAATAAGACAAGTTTGGTAACACGTGTTACTTTTTAATAAGAGAAAATAATACAATAAAGTGGTAAGTAACAGGTGTTACAAGCTGTTTAAACAATTGTACAATGTTTTGATCTTGCAGCATTTTTCCATGTTAAACATACGCCTTAAATGCTGACAGGATTTAAAAAGTAGCGGTCCCTTTACTCTATCATCCCATAAGCAGAAATCAAATTACATAGCACTTATGTTAGTCGAAAAAGAATAAACTGCACATAACATCGAGAACTGATAAAGGCTGAAATCTAAAATAAAGCCCATAAGTAACCATCTCAACATATGATTGATGATGATGATTCATCTGTGATTCATAACTCAGTCACACAATACATTTTGGCAGGCCTCTACAGCTGACGACGTCCAGCTAGCGTGGCTAAAAAATCGATCCCAATTCTAAAAAAACGTAATTACATTTGTAATTACAATTTGAGCATACTAAAATTAAAATCATTTTACATATAAAGGGGTCCCTCGATACCATTTACACACGTATTGGCATTACATTCGTTGATACAATATTTTACCTTGGGGAGTGTGGGAGCAAACCGTGGCTAAAAAAATCAATCCCAATTCCTGACTAAAAAAATGTAATTACATTTGGGATATACATTTTTACATATAAAGGGGTCCCCTCGATATCAATAACACATGTATTGGCATTAAACTTGTTGATATTTTATCATTTAACCTCGGTGAGCGCTTGCCTTGTGGCCATAGAAGTAAACGGCGTCCGACGTGACAGGCGGTCATGTTGGAACTATTGAGAGTTCCATAACCCGGAAGTGGGGTCCGCCGGGCTGTACAGCGTATGCCTATGGGAGTGTCGCCACTCTGTTTAATCCACTGCTCTGGCTGATTCTGGCCTGGGCAGACACACTTTCAATTTCAGCTCTAGAAAAATTGCATTTCCTTGCAGAAAATGCGTGGAACTGCTGAGTGCTGAAATCTGAAAAAACAATGCAAAACTGCTAATAAAACATGGAGAAAGGTATAAATGTTAAAGCTGTTGAAGGGGTGAAAAAGAAATAGAAGTTGGATAATTGTTTAATTGGTTGAAGGACAAATAGTATGAATATGCTCTATAAAAGGAAATTTTATTCATGTTGAAAGAGGCTAGAAAAATGTCTAAAATTGCACAAAGTTTGAATGAAGAAGGAAATTACCTTAAAAGGCAGGAAGGTGAGAAGTGGCATAAGATTAAGTTGTAGTACTAGAAGTAGTATGATAAGAAGTCAAGTAGTGATATTAGTGGTCATGTCACCAGTAGAAGTAGATTGAGAATAAAAGAAGTATAAGTCAAAGTAGTAGAGAAAGTAGAAATAGGAGCAATAGCAGTTGAAGTAGAGGGGAAAGTTCTAGTTTAATTGACATTAGCAGTAGTTGTCGTACTAGAGGTGGGATTTTGTTTGAAGGATGGAGTAATTCATAAATATTAAAACTAATTTAAAACAGGGAAAATTTAAATAGTCATAAATCCTCAAGTATAAGAAAGTTTTGAAGTATTAGAAAGGTTTGAATCAGTTTGAATGAGTTTAAATTAGTTTGAAAAATTAATAAATCGTCACTGAGTGACTTTAAAATTTGAAAAATTTAAATGAATAACAATCCTGAATACACCCCATAATGTCCTCAATGAGCTTAGATTTTGAATGGTTTCTGTAGGTCAAAGTTCATGGAAGGAGATAGGGGCCGAAGTTTGTCAAGCGCTCTGGTGAAGGGTTTTAAATGTCACCCTCAGTGCTCTGTGTTCTGAGGCTGGTTTCATGTGTCTCATATGACCGTTAAGGGGCGTTCAGACCAGACGCGACGCGACTTGGCGACGGCTCCCAATGCAAAGTCTATGGCCAGCCGCGACCTGACACGACTTGGCGACCGCCGGCTGCCTGCGACGCGACCTGTGTTCACACCAGGTCCAAAGCTGCAGTCGCAGGTCGCGGCTGGTCGCCGGTGACATCATCCATGTCACTAGCTCAGTTTTCAGTTCATCAGTGCTGCCGCATATCTGTACATCCGCAGTAGACGCCGCCGGCGTTTATGGGTGCATGAAACCATCCGGAGGAGGACGGAGCTGGGTGAATTTCACCGCTTGCTCCAGGAACTCCGCCTGGACGACGGTCGCTTCCAGCGGTATTTCCGTGTGTCGACGGCGCAGTTCGAGGACCTCCTCGCCCGGGTGGGAAGCAGCATCTCCCGCCTGGACACGAAATACAGGCGCTCCATCTCAGCTTCGGAACGCCTGTCTATCTGTCTGTCCCTCATATAAACGTCCCTAAGCCCCTTCCACCGCCTGCGGCACACATCCACTGCAAAGACACACACACATACGTTGAAACATGTAGCCTAGCAAGCAGGGGCAGTTAGCTCTGTTTTCATAAAACAGTCCGCTCACTGAAATAAATAAATAAACAAACAAGCTCACCAGAAAGCCCGACATCACGGGACACCTTCCCCCATGCTTCTTCTTTGGCGTTGCGTAGCGGTACAGCCCGCAACCCACGTCGTGTAGCACCGTGTGGTAGCTAACGGATGTGATTAACTGCTCCTCCATTGTGATTCTTCTTCTCCTCTTCCTTGTTTCGCCGGTTTGTTGACGTCAGCAGAGCCCTGATTGGCTGTCGCGGCACGGAGTCGCTCCCAGAGTTCAAATATTTGAACTTTGGGAGCGACGCGACTTGGCGTCCTGCGACCTCGGCGACGCGCCTTGGCGACTGGTCGCTAGGTCGCGTCAGGTCGCGTCGCAGGCAGCCGGCGGTCGCCAAGTCGCGTCAGGTCGCGGCTGGTCTGAACGCCCCTTTAGAAGCAGCTTTCCAGTCAGCTGTGTGTCCTCAGGTGCACTAATTGGTTGCCATGGCGAAGGAAGATGTGTCACTGTAGCAGGAGAGAGGAGGCTTGAAGCTGAGGAAATGGCTCTCCAGCTAGGCCCTGATGGTCAACCTCTGTATATATTCATGATAAGGAGCTTGTGAGAACACAAGACTCTGCTGAACACATTAATACAATTTATTATCACAATCCTCAAAACACCCCATAATATCTTCAATGAGCTGAATTTTTGAAGCCCTGAATGGTTTCTGTAGCTCAATGTTTGTGGGTGGAGATAGGTGGTGAAGCAGACACATAAATACTGTGTGTACATGCAGGTCTTATAGGCAGAGACACACACGCACACACATTGTCAGACTGTGTGTGTGTGTGTGTGTGTCTCGTTAATTATTGCATCCCAAACAGCTGTGAGATCAAAGGCATTAACTGACCTACTGTTTGAATGAGAAGCTGCCTCTGGACTTCTTCACATAGCATGATTTCCTTAAATCCCAGAATGAAAATAAGAACATCGTACGAGTCCTCCTCCCTTCATGAACACGATGTGTTTTTCATGTCTGTACTTCAAAAAATGTGGCCACAACAGCGAGTTAAAAAGGTTTGAGCCTGAGTGATGATCAGAATTTTCTTGGAGAAAAATCACATTAGGGCCAATGCGAGGGTTCTTTGCCATTTCTGGATCGTTGGTCACCTGCTGGCCAAGGGGTAGGATTTAATGATTTGAAACCTCTTTTGTGAGAAGCAGGACACATATACCTCCATTTTGATGTATTTTTTATGGCTGTGGAGGGAGATTTGTGAGCGTGGGAGCGATATATTCAAGCGAGGTTTTGTCGATCCAAGAGGAGCTTAAATTGTGGGAATAGTCGACAAGTTAATGAACATTTTTAAGCCAAAATGAGGTCTCTAGGTGAAAGTATGCTGAAGTTATTAGGCTGAGAAGGTGGAAGAATAAGAGGAAGAATTGGAAGATTTCCCCATTGACTTCAATGTTAAAATTTTTGCACAAAAAGTTAAAAAAGCAAAAAGTATAAAGGATAGAAAAGTGAAAAGTACATCCGCACATGTCCTGAAGGAGTGGAATAGTTTAAAGTTGAACAGTTGAAATCGCACAAAGTTTGAAGGAGGAGAAGAGGTCCAAAAAAGGTACGGAAGAAAAATAAGTTTCATAATAATAAAGAAACGGGAGAATAACAACAAGTGGAAACGCTTAATCAGCATTTCCACTTAAGAATAAAGAACAAAGTAACAATAAGAATAATAATAAAGAAATGGGAGAATAACGTTAAGTGGGATTGCCTTATCAGCATTTCCACTTAATAAAAATAATAATACAATAATAACAATAATAATAATAATAATAATAATAATGATAATAATAATAATAATAATACAATAATAATGATAATCATAATAATAATAATAATACAATAATAACAATAATAATAATAATAATAATACAATAATAACAATAATAATAATAATAATACAATAATAACAATAATAATAATAATAATACAATAATAATGATAATAATAATAATAATAATAATAATACAATAATAACAATAATAATAATAATAATAATAATACAATAATAACAATAATAATAATAATAATAATACAATAATAACAATAATAATAATAATAATACAATAATAATGATAATAATAATAATAATACAATAATAACAATAATAATAATAATAATACAATAATAACAATAATAATAATACAATAATAATGATAATAATAATAATAATAATAATAATAATACAATAATAACAATAATAATAATAATACAATAATAACAATAATAAAAATAATAATTCAATAATAATAATAATAATAATAATAATACAATAATAATAATAATAATACAATAATAACAATAATAATAATAATAATAATACAATAATAACAATAATAATAATAATAATAATACAATAATAACAATAATAATAATAATAAAGGAGACACAGTGTCTCCTTTACACCTACCTGTCAGGTGAGCACTCTAATAACTAATAGGCAGTCTGTAAATGCTCTCTAATTGGTCAGTAAGCACTAACCCGGTGCCCTCCCCTCTCGGTTTGTCTGCAGAGAGATCCAATCAAAAATCAAACAGGAGCTGCACAGCCCAGATGTTGACGTGATGTCTGTCATTGAAGGCGGAGCCACAAATGTAGACACGCCTCTTTCTCCAACCACCTTCATCAACTCCATCCTGCAGGACAACGAGACGCAGACACGGCCCACCAGCTCAGCCCCAACATCAGGTAACAGCTGCACCTGTGATGGGGCGGGGGGGTCCCAGAGCTCTGACCAATCAGAGCAAAGATCCCAGAGCTCTGACCAATCAGAAGAAAAAACTCAGAGCTTCTCTTCTTCTCTCTCAGTCAGTCCCATCATCATGATGAGCCCCCCCCTCGCTGAGCCCCTCCCACTAACACCAGCTGGCCTATCAACGTCCTCCATCTCTACCCTCAGCTCCAAATCCCCCAACAAACCCCAGCCCAGCTGCCAGACTGTGGCCCTCATCGACAGGTAAGAACCACACACCTGTTTGTCCTGAAGATGACCTGGGATCTGCCGCTGGAGGAAAAAGTTCCTGTCAGAGCTACTCCATCCTGTTTTTTGTTTTTTTTGTTTTTTTGTGAACAAGTGAATTTACAAACTAGTCAGGCAAAGAATTAGTGCCAAAGGTTCCTGAAGCGCAGACCCAGTATTTTAAACTATAAAAATAAAAAGACAAACAGGATAATAGAAGTGTTCACCTTCATTATTGAACATTAAAAGAAAGTCTCAGGGTCAGACAGATTTAAGGGACTAAAAGGTCGTGAAGTAATCTGGTTTAGAAACGTCATAATTAAAGAATTAATGAAACATTAATCATGAAGTCCAAGTGTTTGTCTTTGAAAATAAAAACAAAGGTCACCAAAACTTTACTGACATTTCTAATGATGAGAACAGTGATGTTCCCTGTCTGTGTGTCTGTCCCTCTGTCTCTGCCCCTTCAGTTTGTCTGTCCCTCACTTTATCACCTGTCTGTGCGTCCGTCCCTAAGTCTCTCACCTGTCTGTGTGTCTGTCCCTCAGTCTCTCACCTGTCTCTGTCCCTCAGTCTCTCACCTGTCTGTGTGTGTGTCTGTCCCTCAGTCTCTCACCCGTCTGTGCTTCCGTCCTTCACTTTCTCACCTGTCTGTATGTCTGTCCATCTGTCTCTGCCCCTTCAGTTTGTCTGTCCCTCACTTTATCACCTGTCTGTGCGTCCGTCCCTAAGTCTCTCACCTGTCTCTTTTTCTGTCCCTCACTCTCCAACCCGTCTGTGTGTCTGTCCCCCAGCCTCTAACCCGTCCATGTGTCTGTCCCTCAGTCTCTCACCTGTCCATGTGTCTGTCCCACAGTTTCTGACCTGTCTGTGTGTCTGTCCCTCAGTCTCTCACCTGTCCGTGTGTCTGTCCCTCAGTCTCTCACCTGTCTGTGTGTCTGTCCCTCAGTCTCTCACCTGTCTGTGTGTCTGTCCCTCAGGTCTGAACTGGCAGATCATGTGGACAGTATTGACAGCAGTTTGGAGAACCTTCAGAACGTCCTCAACACTCAGAGTTTCGGCTTTGATGCGTCTCCTCTCATGGAGGTTCGTCTGTTCCTCACTTCATCCTGATTGTAACAAACGTTTATCATAAACCAGTTATCATATATGTGTGTGTGTGTGTGTGTGTGTGTGTGTGTGTGTGTGTGTGTGTGTGTGTGTGTGTGTGTAGTTTTTCAGTGCTCCGTGTTCCTCCTCAGACTTTGACCTCGACTCTTTGGACATCGTAAGTTTAAAAGACTTTTTTAAACCATTATCATAATACAAGGTAAACTCAGGTGTGAACAGGTTATGTCAGGTTAGGCCTGTCGCGATAATCAATAAATCTCCTTATCGCTCGGTAAATAAAAACGAGGTCGATAACTTTGCCAGCCTCGATAATTGACGTGCGTTTGTTTTCCTCCTCTCTCTACCAAACACGCTGGATGAGAGAAGAGGTCTCACTCTGAGCATTGTTCTCGGCACCTGGGGGCGTTGGCTCTATAGCGGAATGAACGGAGTTAGTGAACCCTCCTGTCAGTCATTCAGTGTCTTTGTCACGAGGGGGCGCGCGCACAGGCACACAGACAGACTTTTGGATACAGTGCTGCAAGTGAGCGTCGTGAGTGAAAAGCAAGCAAACAGAATGAACACGACAGCTTTGGTGTCTAAACCGAACGCAACAGCCCAAGTGTGGGAATATTTCGGCTTTAAACCAGTTTTGTTTTCGTCAACCACAAAACTCCACGTGTGTGTGTGCGCGTGTGTGTCTGTGTGTTGGAGGAGCACAGCAGGCTGATGAGAGCTGTCAGAGCGGACTGAAGCTGCTCCTGTATGTTTAGCGTTTAACTGACTGAGTTTTGAAACTCTGTTCGTCATTTTCGTCTCGTCCCATCAACGTAAACGCACTTTCGTCTCGTCACATTTTAGTCATCTCCGACTTCTGTTTAGCTCGTCAACGTTACGTCTTCGTCGTGGAAGAAAAGGGAAATATTTTTGTCAACGAAAACAACCAGTGTTGTTCTCGTTGACGAAAATATTTCCCTTTTTTGACGCTGGCGTTGACGAAAATATTTGACGAAATATGACGAAAACAACACTGCTTTAAACCAAATGAAAGAGGTGAGCCCACAAATACGGACGAGCCGATATGTCGTATTTGTTCCAAAGTTGTGGTGACAAAGAAGGGGAATACGACGAACATGCATGTACACCTCAAGCACAATCATCCCCTCCATTTTTCTCAACTGAGAAAAAAAAGTTTCACCGGAGGTGCTGCGGAGCCATCGTCCCGACAGGTACTGCTTACTGAAGCGTTTGGTAAGCAAAGCAAATATAAACAAAACAGCGCAAAATGGTGACAGACAGTGGAAATTAAAGTTTATCACTTTTGACATGGTGTACTCGCATTATTATGCCATATAATATCTTTATCTATAATTTAAAAAACAATGTCAATAATATCGTTTATCGGCAATAATTTGTAGCACAATTATCGTCCAGCAAAATTTGTTATCGTGACAGGCCTATGTCAGGTGTATCCAGGTAAACTCAGGTGTGAACAGGTAAACTCAGGTGTGAACAGGTAAACTCTGGTGTGAACAGGTAAACTCAGGTGTGAACAGGTAAACTCAGGTGTGAACAGGTAAACTCAGGTGTATACAGGTAAACTCAGGTGTATACAGGTAAACTCTGGTGTTAACAGGTAAACTCAGGTGTTAACAGGTAAACTCAGGTGTATACAGGTAAACTCAGGTGTGAACAGGTAAACTCAGGTGTGAACAGGTAAACTCAGGTGTGGACTCAGGTTTCCCTCAGGTCTCACCTGTGGTCGTGTTATGAAGGGGACAGAAGGAGGTGTGTCCTCTTCGTAACATTTGTTCATTGATGATTTCACTCAGGAGTAACTGTGACGTCACTTCCTCTTTCAGTTGCTGTCAGGAGACTCTGCTAAAGGAAGTGATGTCAGCAGCACTGCCATCCAGCCAGGTAACACACCTTTAAACCTTTGAATCCCTGTATGTATGATTGTTGTCATGGTGACCCCTCTGCTTCTCTCTGATAGGTCCAGGGAACCAGCTGGTCCAGTACACGGCGCCGTCCGCCCCGACATCTGAACCAATCAGCTCAGGGGAGGGCGGGGCTTTCCTGCCCTCATTACTGGGGCTGGAGGCGGAGTCTTTTTTCAACACGGACCCACCCACCGACGACCCTTCAGGGGCCCTGCTTAGCCACACCCAAATCGACCCTGACCTCTGACATCCTCTGCAGAGGAAGGGGCATAGAATGATCTGTCAACATAGCAACAGGACAGCAGTACTAACAGCTCATATTGACCAGATCAGTCAGGGGTCAAAGGTCAAAATTGATTCTGACCAATAACAAAGAAGTCTGTATGTTTCTTCTTTTTCTTCTACTTGTATTATGTTGGCAGGTCTTCTGCTTCTATCATTTAGATCTTCTTCTTCTGCACCTTTCATTTTAAGCTTGTTTATTTCTCTAATGAGTTTCCGGATGGCACCTTTAGGCTGTGATGATATCACGTCATCATGTGACCCAGCTGTTCGCTGTCCTGCATGCATGCAGATTGGCCGCAATTGTGTCTACATTTATTTTTGTCTGAAATTGAAATTTATGGATGTTGTTGTTACCAACGAGTCCCGTTACCATGGAGACCATCAGCTTGAAACAGAGAGAGTCCAGGTATCACGCACAATAACACCTGTGTGTGTATTTAATGGTGTGTGTTTGTTAAGAAGAGGGGCATCGTGGGAAGAACAAATAGAGTCGAATGTTAAAGTGTTTCAAAGTAGCTGAAAATCTTTGACTTCAAAACTTTATTTAAATAAATATTTTTGTAAACCATAAGTCAGCATCTGTTTAATATTCTATTATTTAAACAAAGTGTGGCTCCTCTGCAGGTACAGGTGAGCTGTATTTCAGAAAAAACTAAAAAAATTGCATTTCCTGACAAAATTGCTGACAAACAAAATCCAAAACTAGGCCCTGATGCTCATTCTCTGTAACGGCTATATTCATGAGAAGAAACTTGTGAGAACCCCACGACTCTGCTGAACATATTGATACAGTTAATTAACAAAATCCTAAATACACCCCATAATGTCCTCAATGAGCTGAGTCTTTGGAGCCCTGAATGGTTTCTGTAGCTCAAAGTTTGTGGGAGGAGATAGAGGCCGAAGTTTGTTAAGTGCTCCGGTGAAGGGTTTTAAATGTAACACTCAGTGCTCTGTGTACTGAGGCTGGTTTCATGTGTCTCATATGGCCGTTAGAAGCAGCTTTCCAGTCAGCTGTGTGTCTCCAGGTGCACTGATTGGTTGCCATGGCGAAGGAAGATGTAACACTTCAGCAGGAGAGAGGAGGCTTGAAGCTGAGGAAATAGCTCTCCAGCTAGGCCCTGATGGTCAACCTCTGTATATATTCATGATAAGGAGGTTGTGAGAACACAAGACTCTGCTGAACATATTAATACAATTTATTATCACAATCCTCAAAACACCCCATAATATCTTCAATGAGCTGAATTTTTGAAGCCCAGAATGGTTTCTGTAGCTCAAAGTTTGTGGGTGGAGATAGGTGGTGAAGCAGACACATAAATACTGTGTGTACCTGTAGGTCTTATAGACAAAGAGAGACTAACGCACACACATAGTCAGAGTGTGTGTGTGTGTGTGTGTGTTAATTAATTCCTCTTTACAGGTGTCACCGTGTCGGACATCAAAGGCATTAACTGACCTACTGTTTGGATGAGAAGCTGCTGAACTGCAGTGAATTTAGGGCCTCTGAAAGTCCTCACATAGCATGATTTCCTTAAATCCCAGAATGAAAATAAGAACATCGTACGAATCCTCCTCCCTTCATGAACACAATGATGTGTTTTTCATGTCTGTACTCTAAAAAATGTGGCCACAACAGCGAGTTAAACAGGTTTTGACCCTGAGTGATGATCAGGATTTTCTGGGAGAAAAAATACATTGTGGTCAGTGGGAGGAATCTCTGCCTTTTTGGACAGTTGCTCACCTGCTGGCCAAGGGGTTAGATTTAATGATTTGAAACCTCTTTTGTGAGAAACGAGACTCATTTTCCTACATTTTGATGTATTTTTTATGGCTGTGGAGTGAAATTTGTGGGCGTGGGAGCGATATATTCGAGCTAGGTTCTGTCGTTAAAAGAGGAGCTCTCCACTCTAGCTCTTCCAATACACACCCATTATGAAGTCTGAAATTTGCTGAAAACCACGAGTTGCTTAAAGCTAAATTTTGGGAAACTGTAGAAGATATAAAAAAATTCAACATTAATAGTCAACAAGATAATGAACATTTTAAAGCAGAAATGAGGTCTCTAGGTGAAAGTGTGCTTAAGTTATGAGGCTCAGAAGGTAGAAAAATGAAAGGAAGAAGTGAAAGATTTCCCCATTAACTTCAATGTTAAAATTTTTGTTAAAAAAGCTAAAAGAAAACAAAAAGTATAAAGGGTAGAAAGAAAAAAAATAGACGCAATAATGTCCTGAAGGAGTGGAATAGTTTAAAGTTTGAACGGTTGAAATCGCACAAAGTTTGAAGGAGGAGAAGCGCGGCAAAAATCGGCGGAAGAATAATAACTAGAAAATGCAATTTCTGAAGAAATTGCGAGTGGGATTGCTTCAGTCGAAATTGCTATCGCTACACTGCTATCGCGAATGGCTGAATTTTAAAAATGTGTGAAAGGTCAAAAGGTATGAAGTATCAGGAAGATTTGAATAAACTCAATTGAATGAATTGAATAATGCATGAATAATAATTTTAAAAATTCAACGTGTGAAATTAAAATGATTAAAAACCCTGAAGTATGGGAAAGGGTTGAAGAATCAATAAGGTTTGAATCAGTTCAAATGAGTTGGAATTTGTTTGAAAGAACTGAATAATGCATTAAGAGTAAAAAATGATTTAAAACTGGAAAATTAAAATGATTAAAAATCTGGAAGTAAAAGGTTTGAAGAATCAAAACGGTTTAAATCAGTTTGAAGGAGTTTAAATTAGTTTGAAGAACGAAATAATGCATTTTCAATGAATGATTGAAAAATGGGGACAATGTAAATGAATAAGAATCCTGATTAGACCCCATAATGTCCTCAGTGAGCTGAATTTATTAAGCTCTGGATGGTTTCTGTAGCTCAAGGTTTGTGCGAAGAGATAGATGACAAAGTTCGTCAAATAACTCTATTGAAGGGTTTTAAATGTCACCCCCAGTACTCTGTGTACTGAGCCTGGCTTCATGTGTCTCATATGGCTGTTAGAAGCAGCTTTCCAGCCAGCTGTGTGTCTCCAGGTGTTCCCTTTGGTTGCCATGGGGACGATAGATGCTTAACAACAGCAGGAGAAAGGAGGCTTGAGGCTGAGAACGTAATGCCCAAACAACGTCATATTTCTCATCCTCTGTAACTGCTATCTCCATGATCAGGAGCTTGTGAGAACCACAAGACCCGGCTGAACACGTTGATACAACTTCTGTGTTTGTGGAGCCAAAAATGCCTTCACTACGACAAGTTAAAAACATGTCCAGTTTGTGTTTCCTCTGAAAATCCTCCTCTCAGGTTTACATTGGAGTCAATGGAGAAAGCTGGAGAAATCTGGGGGATGTCTGTGGCAGTTGGTGTCTGCCCAGGCCACTGTGTGTGTCCTATGGCTTTGATTTTTGAGATGAAGAGTGACAGCGAGTTTTGCCATCACTGTACCAAATTTTATCTGTGTAGAGTGAAGTGAGTTGCCACAATCCTTTTGTAAAGACAAAGTTTTGAGGATCAATTTTCTGCCTGTCTCACTCTAGCTGTGAGGTCACCCACTCTAGCTGCCAACATTCCGTGCAATACACACTAATGTTAAAACCTGAACAGGTCGGAAAATCTTTGGACTTTTTGAACTGTCACTGTGAGAAAAGTATGAATGCCATGAAGATGGTGAATGAATGAGTGAATGTCTGAAGATGTGTGAATATTTTAAAGTTTGAATGAAGTTTCTAGGTGAAAGTATGAATGAATGAGAAGAGGTTGAAGTTGACTACGTCTGAAGCCCTTTTCCCATTGAATCCCATTATAATGAAGTTTTAAACTAATCTTAATATTTTGAAAAGTACAAATGGGATTAAAAATGTTGAAGATGTGGAATAATGCTGACGAATTTGTGAATATTTTGGTTTTTGAATGAAGTTTCTATGTGGAAGTATAGAGGAGTTGAAGGCTTTTGAAGTTGTGTGAAGAAATAACTCGGAAATTATGAACGTTAGGAAAATTTAAAATACACCCCCGAATCTCCCTAATGAGATAAATACTTTGAAGTTTGAATGGTTTCAATACATTGAAGTATGTGGAATAAGTTGAGGCACAAAAAACGGCAGAAGTGTGTTGAATAATAAAGATATGAATAACATATAGTGGGAATGCTTCGCAATCCCACTCAATAACGAAACAGGAGAATAACAATTAGTGGAAATGCTTAATCAGCATTTCCACTTAATAATAATAATGAAGAAAGAAAATGGCCGACAGGAATAACAATAAGTGGAAATGCTTAATCAGCATTTCCACTTTAATATCTATCATAATTTAAAAAAACAAAAATGTAATAATGATAGAGAAAATATAATAATAATAGTAATAGTTATGATAATAATTATAATTATGACGATGATAATGAAAACAATAAAAGTAATTTGTTTCCTTTAAAAAAAGTTTTATTGAAATGTTGAAGATTTTTTTAAAAAGCTGAAGAGCAGTTTAAAAAGTTTTTATTTAATATCACAAATTTTTGGTCACAGCTGGGTGTTTATAATGGTTTGTTTTTAAAAAAATTCATTTAATGATGTCAGATAAACACCAAAAAAAAAAAATCTGATCAGTTTGGACAAAAACAAATTCTCAGTTTGATGTTCAAAATTGTAAAAAAACATTTATTACAGAAATTAACTTTTTTTTTTTTTTGATGCCACATCAGGTATGATGTTATCGAGTCAAAATTACCAAACATTTAAACTTTATTTCAATCTAAGAGGCTCTAACAGCAAAACAATCTATGAACAGAACTCTTAAATATACGAAAAAAATATCAGGGGCGGGGCTTGCAGCTAGAGGGAGGAGTCAGAGCTCCTGGGCCACTTTGATTGGTCCATACACTGAAATCTGTAGCGCAGGAAACGAACCCGGGGCTTAATGTGAAAGTCAGCAGGTATCCTCCAGTTCCACATTTTCTGCACCTAAAACAGAAAAAAACCTGTGAGGAAGTCAGAAAGACCGCCACTCTGAATGTCATGAAGAATATAAATGTCAAAAAGACGCTAAACACGTCACACATGATTATTAAAAACAGAAACAAATCACATTAAACAACATCACATAATACGTCAACAACACAAACAACAACGTCAGTGCTGGATGAGAACATAATCATTTCTATTATTATACAGAATCTAGAGAACATTAAAAAAAGTTCATGAAGAACAATTTGATAATAGACTTTTGAGGTTGTTTTTAAGAACATCAAAAATATCAAAGATTATTAATAAGGACATTATTAGGAACTTGCTGGAGAATCTCATGAGTTAAAAGTTACAAAAAAACAAACAAACTGGGCCATAGAGAAGAGAGATCTTCAAAAACTTTCTTCTGTCTTTCTTTTTATTAAGGGCGATTTCATAATTTGACAGTCACATGAAAAAACACAACATTTCTTATTCACTGGATAAAAGGGAGCAGGAAGAAGACATTTAATTAAAGAACTGACCGGGGCCTTATGAGAGAACTTTTTAGGGTCCTGTCCTGTTTTGGGGGACAGTTTTGAGGTTCCTGTGATCTATCTGTGGCACTGGGATCAAGTGCTGACATAAAAATCGTTGTCCCCCTTTTTGATTTATTACTTTAGGTCACTTTCTGTGGTAAAAACTTTGTGGCGTCTATTTTGTAATTGGATAGTGTGATATAGGTTTTGCCAGCAGGGGGCGCTTAGTACCTCACACATCAGCTGACACCACGGCAGAAGAAGTCCAGCAGCGTGTGTCCATGGGCTCTATTTTCGTGCCTCGCCGGTGAGGCGGCGGAGGGTGGCGGACCCCGCGCAGTTGTATTTTCATCTGGTGGAGCCCGGCGTACAGCCACTTTGGTATTTTCGTGGACTGAGGCGCACAGAGGCGAACCGAGATCCGCCAAGCTGGGCGTGGTGGCGTGGCAGGGGGAGGTGTCGACAGAATCAGCGGGTGCAGTGACATTTTCGTGCTCGCCACCGGTGTGTAAAGTGCGCTGAAAGCTTGCCGATTCAAACCTGGTCAGCTTTCAGCACAGGCGGAACGCAGCTGGTCTAGAGGTATTTTGGTAGACCGGCGGTGTATCAGCATACGTCACCGATGCCTCACCGGCAGGTTTCCACAGTGTCAGGAACATTTCAGTGCAATAAATAATCATCAACAACTAATAATCTGAGTCAGCACATACATTTAGATCTATATAGATATATTCTGATCTATATCTGCTCTGATGAGCGCGTTTGGCACGCGTTTGGACACTCAACCTGACCGAATCAACACAGCTGAAACCGCATTAAATTAAATTAAATATCTAGTAAATAGACACACATGATGAAGTTAACAAGATATGTAATTTGTCTCCCTCCTTTTCTTTCTTCCTCTTATTTCTCGCACAGCTCGACCTGGACATGTCTCCGTGTCCTCTCTCCGTCCTGCGGCTGAACAGATGATTTGTTTCAGTGATCAGATGAGTTATTTACTTTAAGCCGACATACGGATATTATAATATTCAGTTTTGTGAGCCAAATTTATTTTATATGCCAACATCTATGAAAGAAAGAGCCAGGCCACGGAGCGCGATGCGTCATTTACGCACAGATGGTTCCGATTTTTATGCCATTATTGGAGTTTATGTTGTGATCTCTGCGCACAACCCACCTTTGTCACGTGAGGTTTGAATATGTGCAACTTTATGTGAGTGTCTTTATTTGTGGAAAAGGGTGTTTGTCTTATCAGTGGGTCCAACCTTTCACACACCAAATCCATCTGTGCTCAGATGAGAGAGTGTGGAGGACGCCCAATGCAGCGCTTACAGTGACACTTGTTGAGGAGCTGTCCTCTGTCGCCATCTTGTGGCATAACTGTCTTCAGACATCTCTTGATCTCTTTAACTACTTCCCGAAAATAGTAATACGCCTCGCCTGTGGCGGATTTAAAGGCAAGGAGAGGAGCTGATGTGATTGGTGAAAACAGGTCTCGGCTGTGTTAAACCCACTCCATGCCCTCTCTCCTCCCTCGCTACAACTTACGCCGCTGGGAGGAGCTGAGTTAGGGAGGGGGGGATACTTACGCCGGGCTGCGCTGCTCACCAAAATACCAAATTGTGCTTGGGAACGCCTTGTCGGCGCGGCGGACCTCACTTACGCTGCACATGCGCTGCGTCGCCAGCGAGGCACGAAAATAGAGCCCCATGTGTAATTTTCTGTTTTCTGGAGGTAAACTGGTAGCAAATCTCTTTTGGGTTAATGAAAAAAATAATAACAGAAGTGACTCAGAGTTTATTGGACATGGAGTCGAAGAGTGAAGTTGTAAGTTTGTTGGTTTTTAAAGGAGACTCGGACCCAGACCTAAAGTGGCGGACTCGTCGTCCACAGCGTTCGTGACCATGAACCAGAAAACTGAGTCTGAATGATTTTAAAGGACATAAACAAAACAGAGATTCACACAACAACTGTAAGGGTTTGAGTTTAAGGCCGAAATCCTTATTAAGCAGAGTAAATGTGTCAGGAGATGTTTGTGGAAAGAGAAGTGTTGAGTTAAGCTAAGTGTGAGGCTATGCTAACAAGCTAACAGTGTTAATGCAGGTATTAGTCTGTTACAAAAGTCCTTATTTTCCACACTCTTATTTCGGGGTTAAAGTAGTACTGTGTCTTTTCTTTCTTGTTCAGTTTATTATAAAGAGTACGGTAGATAAAGTAAAACCCATTAGTTTAACATAGATTCACTTAATAAAGTTCATGGGAGTATTGAATAAGAGGACTAGGAACAGTGACTAAAAACACTATAAAACTATTTGGAGTTCATTAAGTTATCTGGTCGAAAGTGAAATGTAAATAAAGGATTGTGTCAATTAATACAGATGAGCAATGTTGGTAAAATAGTTTAAATATGAAGACAGTGGGCTAATGGATTATATTTCAGTACTGCTGTCGTGTTTTATAGAAAGAGTGTTATTTGAAGACTAAAGATGTCAAGTCAGTGAACAGACAACGCACAGAGTCCACTCCTTTAAATCAGTACTTTCTTGTTTTCTGTAAATATAAATATTTATGATTTATAAGGTTCCTGTACTGAAAACAAGAGACAGTTTAGAGGTTCCTGTACTGTATATGAGGAACAGTTCAGAGGTTCCTGTACTGTATATGAGGAACAGTTCAGAGGTTCCTGTCTTTTTGGGGGGACAGTTCAGAGGTTCCTGTACTGTATATGAGGGACAGTTTGGAGGTTCCTGTACTGTATATGACAGACAGTTTAGAGGTTCCTGTACTGTATATGAGGGACAGTTTAGAGGTTCTTGTACTGTATATGAGGGACAGTTTAGAGGTTTCTGTACTATATCTGTGGAACAGTTTAGAGGTTCTTGTACTGTATATGCCAGACAGTTAAGAGGTGCCTGTGCTGTGTATATGGTACAGTTTAAAGGTCCCTGTACTGTACATTAGGGACAGTTTAGAGGTTCCTGTACTGCATTTGAGGGACAGTTAAGAAGTTCTTGTACTGTATATGAGGGACAGTTAAGAGGTTCCTGTACCTTTTATGGGGAACAGTTTAGAAGTTCCTGTACTGTATATGAGGGAAAGTTTAGGGGTTCCTGTACTGTACATTAGGGACAGTTTAGAGGTTCCTGTACTGTATATGAGGGACAGTTTAGAGGTTCCTGTACTGTGTATATAGTACAGTTTAAAGGTTCCTGTACTGTATATGAGGGACAGTTTAGAGGTTCCTGTACTGTACATGAGGGACAGTTTAGAGGTTCTTGTACTGTATCTGAGGGACAGTTTCGAGGTTCCTGTACTGTATATGAGGGACAAACCTTCAGGACCCTGACCAGATGGGTGGTATTGTTCAGTGACTGGACCTGGAGAGAACAAGCAGAACCAAGAGAAGAGAAAGAACAAGTTTTCAGCACCTGCTCTCAGGTTAGATACAGATATCACAATCTTGTAATTTTGAAACTTTAACCAGAAAACACAAAACCTGAACCCAAACCTGAGCCACCAGATCTACCTCTCACATGTTGGACCTTCCAGCTTGTCCCTGTCGTCTTTGTCTCCAAGTAAAAGGAACTCTTTCTCTTCCCGGTTTCAGATCTACGACGTGTATTGACTGACCCCCGACCCCTGGCAGTTGACATGATCATTTCCATTAGGCGCACCCTTACCTAGTTCACGTGAGGGTATGTAAGCCTCAGGTACTCAAAGACTTCTCATGGACCCCACTGTGTGATGCACATCTCTACGAGAAACTGTGAATGAGGCTGCAGCCTGTTTTACTGCGACCACATCGATCAGGGTCGACATCCATCAAGAATTCCTTGGTAATTCCTGGTGGTGCTGCAGAGTCTGTCAGGGAACCCCATGGGTCTACTGGATTGGCCCTGAACCACAACTCTTTGGGGACATGAGTTACCCGTTTGAAGGTGCCCTGGTTCCCTGCAAAGTGTAGGCCACAGACTTAGGGAAGCCTTTTAGGAAGAGGCGACCAATCGCCTCATCCCCTACAGAAAAAGAGGTAACTGGGTCCTCTGGTTCAGGTAGTCCAGGACCCTGAGCCCCAGTCACTGTAGTTCCCATGCTGCATTCGTACACCTGAAGGTCATTGTTCAGAATGTCTCACCCTCATAAGACATCTCCTGTTCTGGAGTTACAAACCCTTTTGTCCTTAAACTAAGACAGCTCATCTTTTCTCTGCAGGAGTCATCAGAGGTCTGAGGTTCAAATCTGCATCTGTGAGTAAAGGCCTTCATCGCACACAAAGAATTTACGTCTCAGCACAGTTGGTGAAACAGAGACGATCAAACCGAGAAAAAGTCTTTGGATAAATCTTAATAACCTCGGATAAACGAAGGCTTTGTCTCATTAAACTGATGTCCCCCTAGACTTGCACCTGGAAAGAAACCATCACTGAAAAGAAAGGAGGTACATGGAGTCCGATCTGTACCCATGGTGCACCTGCTGCACGTAATTGATAAAGCTACTCTGTCCGCCTGTAAGAAGGATTCATGGCTTTTATTTTGAGCAGCAGTTCCTAATGTTGAATATCCAGCCGTCTGCCTCTTCTTATCGATCAACTTTCTTCTTTAATTATCTCTGATGTGTTTTTATGTTGTTTTTATTTCATCTTGGAACAAAGGAAGTTGATGAAAACAATATTTGTAGGGCCCTATAAAATCCACAACCATGGAATCATGGACGGAATCACGGAATTGGACATTAAAAACAGAATTCAATATAAATGCGGAATATCGTGGAAAATGACAAAATTTTTGGTAAATAAAAGAAAAAAGGAATAAAAAGGAACATATCTCTCAGGAAAATGCTCCGGGGGTCACTAATGCTGCGGACCGTGCAGCATCACTTCCTGCCTGAGACCCCGGCTAAGTTGTCTCAGAAGCTACAAAAGTCCTGACTAAAGGTCCTTTCACACAGGGAGCCTTTTTTTCCTGCCATTATTTTGGGCGTCAGTATTTTTTTCGAACCCGTAGCCTGTCAATACAAGTGTTCACATCAGCGACGCATTTAAACTACAAACTACAGGGCAGAGCAGTTTCCAAATGATCATTATGTGTCAGGTGATCAAATATTGTCGACATACTGTTGACCCGTAAAGACACGTGTGACACCTGAAGAGTGACAAGTACTCGTCCTAAAGGATTTATTCACTTCACCAGGAGTGGATTTTATGTTTGTGACTGAGACGTGGATGACGTTCCATGAGTCCAGCGCTTTCACTGAATCTTTGCCACAGGATTGCTGCTGTTTGAACTCCCCACGGATGTCTGGTGGAGGTGGAGGAACAGCCACTGAACAGCAGCTCTCTCTGTCATCCTCATTCACCAGCTTTGAACTGAGTTTATTTTGGGTCGCTCTCACACTGTATTGTGTGCTGTGGTATATCGGCCTCCAAAATACATGAAGGACTTTATAGATCGATTTTCTGTTTTCCTGGCTGTAATCCTGCCTAAATATGACCGTGTCCTTATTGTCGATGATTTTAATGTTCATGTGTGTTGTTCCGATAAGCCAATGGCAAAGGACTTTTTAAACCTCATTGACTCTTTTCATTTTGTGCCGTCTGTGTCTGGACCTACACAAGAACGTGGACACACACTCGATATTGTTTTCTCTTACGGTCGGCCTGTTTTTAATCTTGTGACGCAGCTTTCTCTGATCATATGCCGGTTTTATTTGAGGTCGCTCTTGCCTGTTATACTTCGGTCAAATCTGCCGCTGCTGCTAGGCGCTGTTGTATTATTAACCCTTCTACTGCTGCTCAGTTCTCGACTACTTTCAATCTTCTCGGTGTCTCTCCTGAGTCTGTGTGCACCACTGAAAAGCTCAGTTCATGGCTTCACTGTCAGACTGTTTTAGACACTGTAGCTCCACTAAAAAACAGGCAGCCTAAAACCGTATCTGCCCTGGATGAATGACACAACTCGGGCTGTCAGATGTGAGTGCCGCAGAGCTGAGCGGAAATGGAAGAGGGACAAACTGCAGGTGTCTTTTCAAATGTTAAGGGACTGTTGGCGACGTTATCAAGCAACTGTGAAAGCTGCTAAACCAAAACATTTGTCTGACATTATCCTGTCAAACTGTCACAAACGATTGACTCTGTTCTGAATGCCCCACAGTCAACATGCATGGAGGCCTGCCCTTCACTTTTTTATCAACAAGGTCTCTTCTACTCGGGCTCTGCTGTTTTGAACCAGTTTGAGCCTGTGACGCTGTCTTCTCTACAGGACATCGTTGGTCATATGAAGCTGTCCCTGCTCGGCTTTTTAAAGAGGTTTTCCCTACTGTAGGACCATATGTTACTGCAGTTATTAATAGCAGTCTGTGCTCAGGTGTGGTCCCCACAAATTTTAAACATGCAGTGGTGCAACCACTGATTAAAAAACCAGGGCTAGATCCTGCTGTTCTAAAGTGTCCTTTCTGTCAAAGATTATTGAGAAGGTGGTTAATAGTCAATTTATGACCTTTTTGGAAGAACACAGCATTCTCGACATTTTCCAATCCGGTTTTAAATCTCTGCACTTTGAAGAGTTTTTAACAACATCTTTTTTAGAGACTCTGGTGATTCTGTGATTCTTGTGCTTTTAGATTTAACAGCTGCCTTCGATACAGTCGACCATGAGATCCTAATTTCTCGTCTGGACCAGTGGGTGGGTATTAGGGGCGTAGCATTGGAGTGGTTCAGGTCGTACTTGGCGACTCTGTGTCCTCCTCTGCTCCCCTCTCATGTGGGGTCCCACAGGGCTCAGTGCTCGGCCCTCTCCTCTTTTCCCTTTACTTGCTCCCGCTTGGCTCCATAATTAGGAAACATGGTGTATCTTTCCATCGTTATGCAGATGACAGTCAAATTTATGTGCCTCTTAAAAAAAATGACACCGACTCTGACACGGCGCTGCTGAAATGTCTTGATGACATCACGGCCTGGATGGCTTTTGATTGATTTGAATGACAATAAAACAGAGGTGGTGTTTTTTGATGGAACCTCTGGGACCCCCCTGCCAGATCTTGGTTCCCTAACCCAGTACATGAAACCATCCGTTACAAACCTGGGGGTAAAGATGGACCCTGACCTAAAACTCGACAGCCAGATCACTTCTGTTATTAAATCAAGTTTCTACCACTTGAGGCAGCTCGCTAAAATAAAACCAATTCTCTCTCGGCAGCATTTTGAGACAGCAGTCCACGCCTTTGTTACCACTCGGCTGGACTGCTGCGATGCATTTTATGTGGGGGTCAGTGCGTCGGCCATCTCTCAGCTCCAGTTGGTGGAGAACACTGCAGCACGTCTTTTAACTGGCACTAGAAAACATGAGCTTCACTCCACGGGCTGTCTACACATTTTAGGGTTCATTTTAAAATTCTTTTATTTGCTTTTAAATCCCTCGACAGTCTTGAGTCTCTAAGCTTCTACATTTTTACACTCCGTCACGGTCTCTCAGGTCAGCTGATCAGCTGCTCCTGAGAAAGCCTAAAACAAAGCGGAAGCTCAGAAGGAGTCGTGCCTTTGCTGCTGCAGCTCCTAAACCGGGAATAACCTGCCTCAGCAGATCAGACAGTTTTTAAATCCCATCTTAAGACCCGACTCTTCTCCTTAGCTTTTAACACTCAGTAGGAGGTTGATTTCATTTGATTGTTTTCTATAGATTTGATTTGCTTTTTATTTGATTGTACTCTTTTTATTATTTGATCTTTTATTTTATCCCCCATTACCTGGCTAGACTGTATAAAGAACAGACGCCGTCTGTGTCCTTAGTGGGTGAAGTGAGAACAGCAGACTCTGGACCACAGTCGAGATCATAAATCCCGCCTCCTTGAGTCCTGCTGTGGTTTTTAGACCCTTCTCTCTGTGTTTTGGGTTCTTACATGGTTCTTCTGGATATTTCTAAGCACAGTAATCCCGAACACCATAATAATGATAAATCTGAAATAAGCACTCAGTCAGCTGTGATGGATTTGTCTTGTCCAAAGACAGCAGAGACATGAAGTAACCCCTGGAGAGTCCACCTCCACAACAATCCTGAAAGGGGCCCCCTAAGACCAGCTCTCCTCCACCCACAGAGGACTGGATCACACTCAGTGGTCTCACACCTAAACTACCAGGTGAGCCTTTCACACCTTCACATGGACTTCATGGTGGTGTGCCTCAGAGAAGTATTCACATCAACTGCACCATAAGGACCAGTAATCATGAAACCAGCATGAAAGTGGGAGGAGTCAAAGTGGTTTTAGAATGGTCTGTGAAAAGTGTGTTTCAGGTTCTTCTGACTGTCTTAGACTGGTTCAGGGTTTGGACCTGCTGCGTTTGACTCTGAACATCTGTGAAACTTACCAGCTGTCTGTGTGTTTTCAGTCGCTGCACCTGGATGACCTGAGAAGAAGAAGAAGAAGAAGAGAGATGAAGAAGAAGAAGAAGAAGAAGAGGAGGAGGACTCTTCTTCTTCTTCTTCTCTGGTTTTAAAGTCACTTACTGAAGTCCAGGGGAGTTCCTGCTGGATATGCTGACACTTCAAACACACATAACTTCACCTCTGACCTCTGACCTCTGACCTCTAACCTGTATGGACGTCTGGGTGCATTGACATACCTGTGTTTGTCCCTGTGGATTCTGTAACCATGGTTACCAAGTCTGCCTGGAAGTTTCCGCCTGACACCGAAGAGAGGAAAAAAAAAACAGGTAAAGAGACGACGACACACACACACACACACACACACACAGACACACACACACACACAGACACACAAACATAAACACACACAGACAGAGAAACACACACAGACACACACACACACACAGACACACACACACACACAGACATACAAACATAAACACACACAGACAGAGAAACACACACAGACACACACACACACAGACACACACACACACACTAACACACACACACAGACACACACACACACACACACACAGACACACTAGGACAGAAAAACACACACACACACACACACACACACACAGACACACACACACACACACACACACACAGACACACTAGGACAGAAAAACACACACAGACACACACACACACACACAGACACACACACACAGACACACACACACACACAGACACACACACACACACACACACACACACACACACACAGACACTAGGACAGAAAAACACACACGGACACACATACACACACACACAGACACACACACACACACACACACACACACACACACACACACACACACACACACACACACACACACACACACACACACACACACACACACACACACACACACACACACACACACACACACACACACACACAGACACACACACAGACACACACACACACACACACACACACACACACACGCTCACACACACACAGTGACACAGACAGACACACACACACACAGACACACACACACACACACACACACACACACACACACACACACACACACACACACACACACACACACACACACACACACACACACACACAGACTCACACACACACACAGGTGTACCTGGTTGCTGACTGTTTGTAAAGCTGATCACAGGTGATGACTCTGCAGATTTCAGGACAGTAATGAATAAATTAATGATGTCACTCACCTGTAGTTGTCATAGCAACAGCATGTACCTGTGTGGTGGTGACTGTGTCCGTCATCTGAAGCTA